CCGAAAGACATCTTGAAAAATTTCTAACTTTCGAGTTTCGAAAAAAATTATAGGTTTAAGACTCTTTGAATTTCAGGAACATCTTATGATTATTTTTTCAAAGATGAAAATAACCTTATGCGAGAAAACCGGATCAATTGGTGTTTTTTCAATCAACGGGGAAATCTTAAATTCACTTTCGAAACTTAAGTTTGTTCTGTTTGTTTTTTCAAGACTATGGATTACAAAACATAGCGTTTTTTATTCTTGTATATTTGATTTCTTGATAGGTTTCACACTCTTCAGATTCTTAACACTTTACTAACGTACGTTACCAAGCTTCAATTTCTCGTTTCTGATATGTATATTTTTTGATTTTGATAAACGTAGCAACAAAAACTACTAACCCAATGCGCAATAATATTACTGACTAGAAACATCGAATGATGTTCAAAAGGAAATGGATCTAAGAATCTTAAGCTCTAGAGTAAGCTGACTGACATCTTTCTGCATGTTGGAGGTCCAGTCCGGTAGAGGGTGGTGGATCTTCTTGGGTTTCCGTCTACCCTTCCCCCCTCTCTCCCCCTCTCCAGCGAATGCATCATCCTCCAGCTGGTCACCCCTACTTCTAGAGTTTCTCTCTGCCTTCTGAAAAAGATCAATTAAACTAATATGATTACATTTGAAACCATTTCATAAATATAAGTTCACAGGGCTTTTAGCTTTGAACTGTTACGGCTTTCGAAAAAAGCAGCATGAGTCTTCGCAGTCTTTTGCGAAGTGCAACAAAACATAATCGAATGCCCTATCAAACCCTAGAATTTGATTCCTTGAAAAGGTGTGAATAACAGTTCTCGACAACTAGGGAAAGACCGAATACCAAAAGTGGATCAGCCAGTTATAAGTCAGTATTCGAAAATCTGAATTACATGCGAGCTTTGCCTAATCTAATTTTTTATTGGTTGGAAATGTTCTATAATTTGCTCTTTCTGCCATGAGAATAGTCCCCCCCCCTCCTTCTTCATAATGAGTTTAATTTCTTTTCTCATTTCCCCCCTTTCTATTACCCTTGCGATACGGAAGAGTAATGCAATCGGGTACGAGACTTTTTTCCCATAAAATTTTTTGTTCACAGAATGGTCAAATGATAAGCAGTATCAACTGATGATGTAATAGCATTGTCAGTGTATTGGTAGGATATATCATTCGAGAGAAAATTAAGAGTTCTTGTGAAGTAAATTTTTCTGTGCTCAAAATTTTTGGCTAATTTTTGGCGCTGGAGGTAGTTCGGCCTGGATTCTTTCACTTTCTTTTCCCAAATGTTTTGCTTTTGATTTGCTAGTAGTATATGATATTGATTGAACCCGCAAGAAAAATTTTGTAAAAATTAAGCCAATCTCACAGACCCTCCTCAATTAAAATTTAAAAAAAATACACGTTGAAAAAATTTGAAAAGTTTTTAAAAACATTGATTTTGATTTTTTTAGTTCGTAGAACAACTCTGGTCGGATTTTTTTTAGTTGTGTAATTGGCTGTATTTATCATGTTTCTTCTGGAGAGGTAATTGTGCTCGTGATTTTTCCGCCTAGCTTTTTATATAACTTTTGTGTAAAAAAGTTTTTGTCAGCAGCTGTTTGTTCTTTTGTTTTCATTGCTTTCTAGCTTAAATTGCTTGACAGGGTATTCGTTTCATCTGATCTGTCTGAGTTTAAGCAAGATTGAATTGCTATTAAATCTACAAACATCAGTTCAAAATATTTTTCTCTATTAATTTGTTCAAATTTCTGAAAGAAAAATTATTTCGAAATGCCATCTTCAGTTGATTTGCGCTATTTTGCCCAAACAACTTGTTTTTGTTTTTATGATTTTGCACCGCTTAAATGTTTGAAAAAAGTTAGCAATATAATTTTTTGATCTAATTTTTATTGGCTTTTCTCAGCACTTTTTTGACCAATCTAAAATTTGTTTCGGTTTTTATTTTACAAGTAGAATTTGTTTCTATGCTCTAATTTTTTTGTCTCTTGAAAAGTTACAAAATTGCGTTAAGGAGTTTTTGTTAAATTGCTTGAAATTTTTAAGAGACAAAAAATGATTAAATGCTTAAGCATTTAAATGCTTAAATGTTTGAAAAAAGTTAGCAATATCATTTTTTGATCTTATTTTTATTGGCTTTTTCTCAGCATTTTTTTGATCAATCTAAAATTTGTTTCGGTTTCTATTTTACAGTTACTATTCTTTAGTTAATGGCTTTTGTCCATCATTGTGCAATATACAAAGGTTTCATGGTTTGCCTTATGAGTAATTTAATGTAATGCAGCCAAGTCAGTTGCAAATGGACTAAAATTGTTGCTTGTGAATTTTTGTTTGCTGGCGATAATCAGAACTCGCGAAACAGAATTTTCAATTTTTTTTTCAATTTTATACTGAAAATTTTTGCATCGCAAGTGGTGTGAAGCTCGGCTTTGCGTTTTTTTTAAAATTTTTTCACTCGAACGTTGACCTCCAATTGCTGAATTGAGAGAAAGGAAAGCTATCAATCAGAAAATGCTATTAGTATTACGAAGAGTTTGATATAAGATCGGGTTACTTACATTTGATCGAGGTCGTGCCGGATGATCGAAAAACCTGGGCGAACCTGAAACACTCCGATATTTAAATTTTCGTATGAACACAAAAGAGAAAACATTAAACTTGTGCAATTACTGAAATAAAGAAAAAATTCTTAAAGGAGAAATGTTGTCGGTTTTTTAAGGTCAATCTCAAATTATTCTACCCTACCCTAGCTTATTTCAAACGATAGAATCTCCCAACTTTCTGCACTGCACCGATCTTGATCTTTATAACTTTGAGCGGTTTTCTCCAAGCTCGCAGCTAGACAGACTTTTGGGCCATTTAACCAAAATGAATACCACAATTCAATTCAGCCATTTTTGACTGTAGTAAGATATCTGAAGTAAGATAACGGAGCTGGATAAGATAACGATTACTATTTAGAGTATGGTACGTTGCACGTTAGTTACTATTCGACTTAACTGTTTTTATTGAAACCTCACCCGTAGCTTGTGCCACATCTGTTCTGAATGTGACCTCTTCTCCCTCGCCCGTCCCTGTCCCCATCATCCCCCCTCCGAACCCCTCCTCCCCCTCTGGGCCCGAGTGGTACACCTGGTCCGAGTCGATAGTCCTCCCTGTCTGCATAAGATCCTCGTGAGGTCTCCTCGTGTTGTCCCCACTTGTGATGTCATACAGTTCTGACTCACCTATTCTATCGTAAGCTGAAAACAGAGCCACATGCTTCTATAATGGAGTGGTTAATTGTTATAACTGCTCCGACGTCTCTATTACGAAGTGGCAAAAAAGTAGTACGGCTTAACCTCCTTTGTAAAAACAACCCTTCCAGCACCCTCGCCGTTTTTAAGTATCAAGAAACTTTTTTCCCTTGTACTAATATTCCAGAAAATCATGTATCTTATAGATTTGATGCATAGCTTGCTTGTTATAATCTCAAAGAAAAGGAATTACCGATTGCTGTGGAATTTGGTCAGAAGGACAACACTTCAGTGAAAAACAATTAAAAACTTAAAAAACGTTCTGTCATTTTTGTGCTCGAAGAGGGAGCAAAATTATGCTGAGAAAATCAGCATTGCCTTTGAGCAAAAAGAGTTTGATTTGTTTGTTCATTTTGTAAGGCAAATTGAACACCGAAAGTTACATTTTTCAAACAATTTTTTTCAGCCAAATTAGAACATGGTCTACAATTTTTGACCAAAAAAATCGCTTTGTTTTGGAGTGCGCTACCCCCCTTCCCCCTCAAAATTGAATTTTGGCCCCAAATAAGCTTTTGAAAAATACAAGGTCGGTTAGCCAAAAATGGATGTCTTAAAATAGTACTAAAGGCAGGGGTGGATCTAGGAGTTTAGGGGGGAGGGATTGTAAAAAAAAATCGAACATTTTGTCGACCTTTTTTTAGGACGACCAAATTGATTTTTCGAGCTCCCAAAGCACTAAAAAGTCCCTGTTTTGGCCAAATTTTCTGCAAAGCAGGCAAATTTTTGAAAAAAAAATCGCTCTCCCTCAAATTAGTAATGTTGGCGCCCAAGGGCGCCTTAAGAAAATTTTTAGGGTCCGTCACCAAAAACGGATATCTCAAAATAGTACAAAGGGGGACCCTTTGTGTCGTCAGGGGTCGAATCCCTGAGGGTTTTTACTTTTTCAAACCGTTTTAAGTTTTCACATAATTATGCGTGTTCTATCTATTTATAAACCGAAAATTGTTTCAGAATCATTAAAGGAGAGGCGTCCTGATGAAATGAGTCTTGTTTTTATTGGAGCATATATATAATTTCAGTGAAAGTAGTGTTATCCACAGCAGAAGAAGATTTAAGATAAGGCAGGTGATTATTGGCCAATTTTTGCTCGTTTTTCCGTAGTGCAGCTTCGCTTCTGTGTTTATATTTATATATATATATATATATGCCCACTTATTGCACACTTTTCAATAGTAGCAAATTGCATCTAATAAAAAATAATTGCACCAACAATTTTGCCTCAGTTTAATTTGGATTAAATTGAGCTTGATTTTTTTGTCAAGGAAAGTGAGGGCAATGGCCGGGTTGACCATCATAGACCAAAAACGCAAATCGTAAAGTTTCATAAACTAATTCATGTATTACGAAAAAATGTTGGTCGTACAAGTTTCATGGAATTTTGCCAAAACGGTATGACCGAACTTTAAAAGAATTTTTTTCTTGTTTCGGCATAAAAGTCGGTGTGAAAATAAATAAAGAAGAAAATGCCGAATATACAATTTCCTTAAATGGTAATCGTATGACGAGCTAATTTTTGATGGCCACTCCAAAAATTTGAAAATGCAGTATAAAAAATCCCCACAAAATCTTTTTTGTATTTGAATTTTTGTGCTCAAATAAGCTTTTTTCCAAAAAAGTTTTGAATCCTGTTTTAACGTAGTCCTGGATACCCAAAAGTTGGATTATTTTTCTGTTTCTCTGATTAAATTTTTTCAAAAGCGCTCAAAAAGCTTACTTCTTTTGTATTCCTTCTTGGGAAATGCATAATTATTTAAAATTTAAAATAAAAAATACTTCTTTGAAAACGTTTGCCATTATTTACAAGTTTCTCCTTTTCATTATAATCTTTGTCTAACTTACCTATTTTAAAGTCGTTTTCAATGCAATGTACACACGAGAACGTTAATTTTTCGGGGACTTTAGCTTTGAGCAATCAGGGTCTTTGTTGCTCGGTAAGGAACATAACCTATCACTTTTGAGAAAAATTGAAAAAAAAAACCTTTTTGGTGTTGGAAAACGCTTGTCATACAATTTCGATATACAAACAATTAGTAATGAAAGACCTTTGATGCAGTTTTCTGTACGCATGGAATTGCATAAAAATTCTATGATTGATAAACATTTTTCCATATATGAAAAAAGTCTGGCAGTAGTAGTAGTAGGAGTAGTAAAAGACTTGAATTACCCAAAAATGAACTACAATCACCCTAACAAAAATTTCGTTATATACGACAGTTTTTAGAATAAAAAATTTAATGGAACAAATAAGTGACAAAGTTTCTACAAACGCAAAACGAATTACAAGCGCAAACTATTTCAAGTGCAAATCAATTTTTTGTGAACAACCCGGATATATGCTTGCGGTGTTTTAGTTTATGTATTCAGATCAATTTACAAACAACGCGGACTGCGAATTTATTGTCAAGCTTTAGAATTACACCAGGTTAAAATGCGGTTTGCTTATTTGCCTGATTAAAATTGAATAGTTTCAACACGCGAACTGTTTTTGCATGCAAATTTTTTGCACTCTTAATCATTCCAAACTAGATTTAGGCCAATCAATTGGTCATTTTATTCTAATCAAGTTTTGGCTTTTAAAATTGATTTTGGCAGTAAAAAAGTTTATAGTTCGTCAAAGAATTTGGTTTTTTGAGATAATTTTAAGCTATTCCAGATCAGTTAATGTGAAGACGAAACAATCATCTTCTGCCCTCATAGAAGATCAGTCTTGTTACAGTTTTTCGTTTTTGAATAGCAGACAACGGAATTTGAGCGAAACTTCAATCGTCTGATCTAACAAAATCTAAGGCCCCGTAGTTTCAATCGAGGCTCCGTAGTTACGTAGAAGATGGCTAGTTTGATACAAACACTTTTCTTAGTAACTATTGTTTCACTCAACGGTGTACAAGCTTACAAACTTGGCAATTTTAAAACAGATCATGTTTGAAACACGTTTAGGCACTGGCTAAATCATTAAGGTTTTGGGCGCTTCTTTAATACAAGACATTTTTTATGAGTGCGATTGAGCGCGTCTTATCTTCGAGTAGGAGACTCCTTTTTTTTACTTTCAAGTGATTGAGTATTATGCTCGGCGTGGTTTTTGTCACTATTTAAGTTTGTCGCTATCAGACGCGACTTCAGTTTTTGTTTTTAATTTTTTTTTATTTGGGAAACAATTACCTAATGGGGAAAACCTAGTTACTCAAAAGTACCTTGCTCCTTCCCTGATTTAGTTTAGAAGTAAAAATTTCTGACTAAATTTTCAGCTATCGTGTCTGACAGTTGCTAGCGTAATGCTGAATATTAAGTTTTGTGCAATTTTAATTGATAATGATTTTTTTTCACCTGTGAGAGTAAATGACTTGTAATCGGAAACTTAAGTTTTTTTCGTTGCATATTTTACTTCACATTTGAGTTTTTGTTTGGAAACGTTGATCTGAACAATTATCAAAATTGAATTTTCCTCTAAACAGCTAATTATGCTCGACTCTGGTTGTGAGCCAACTTTTTTCAAGTTGAAATTTTTTAGTTGCTGGATAATCAGTTGTCTGTGGATTTTGTTAGCTTACTTTCGTGAGCAAAAATTTTTATTTCGTTTGCAGCATTTTTAGCATGAATTACATACGCTATGTAAGTTAACGAACTCTAACTTTTGTTTACTTTTTTTATTATAAAAATCATAATAATTTGTTCTCGAGCAGCTCCATTGTGAGAAATAATTAAATAAATTCACAAGGTACGCCAATATTTTTTTTGCTATACGAGGCCTAACTGTGCACTGGATAGGCGCTCAACTTTGGTGTATGTAGGCGACAGGAATCTAGAGACAAGTCTTTAAACATGGTGCAAAGTGTAAGTGGATTCGCGCACAAATGTTTGTAACGTAAATAATGTCGGCACATTAGTTTTGTTGCGGATTCCGCAGCGAGTGAAAACAGCTAATTGTTGCGGATTCTGCAAGTTGAAGCGGATTTAGCAAGTGTAAGTGGAATCCGCAATTTTATTCAGATACTGCTTACAATTTGCTGATTCTTTCTGCAATTTGCGAAATCCTCTCACAATTTATTGATTCCGCTTACAACTTGCGGTTTACGGATTGCATTTACAGTTGCCGATTTCACGACAGCTTAAATTTACTGAACACACCTATTATCATTTTTTTGGATTCAACGGACGGTTTTGGAATCTGCTATCTTTGTTGCAGTTTCCACTTTGTTTGAGGATTCTCCAAAGTTGCCTGTTTTTGGAGTAATTTTGCGCAGTGCAGTGTTTGAACAAAACAGCGACGAAGATCAAAGAAAAATAGCAATGTTGCGTACTCCGCGACTATTTTGTTTTCGTCTTTTGATACATCCGCTTATCCGTCAACTTTTTGGCCTGTTATTATTTTAAAAGGGGCGCCAGAAAAATTTTGGTGTTTATAGGAATTTGGTTTTTGATAATATTTGCGGAGAGCTCTGAAAAGTCAGTTTGATCGACCTGAAACAATGTCGGCAAAAATTGATAAGAACAAATTCAATTTTATCAAAACCACGCCTTCCCCTTCCTCGAGATCCACCTCGATTTAACGGAAATTACCACGTGCAGTTGTTTCGGCCTCTCCTGGCGAGTGTTCTAGTAATCCTGTCTCCTGTATTTCCGGAAGTCTCTGTGGGTCCTGCTGCATCCCTGCAGTCAGGCTCCCCCGTCTTCCCCTTTCTCTCGTCTCGTCTCCACCAGAAGCTGGAAAACAAGTTTTCAGTGATTTTTTTTCTCAGAGTGATTGATTTTGCTTAATGTTGTTTTAGACATTTTTTTTGTGTTTTGTAAGCGGATTCCGCAACAAGGACGCTCTCTTTGATCTTTTTTTTGTTCTTTAGTCTTCTATGATCGTTTCGACAAAGTTTTAACATGTTTAAAAATTGTCTCTGGATTCTAGGGACCTACAGACGCAAAATTGTGCAATATTTCAAATTGGCCTCGTCCGACGCAAAGATAAGATTTTTTAAGATATTGTTTTTTCGACTTTTCTTAAGTAATTTTTTAAGCCTAACTTTTCAAAAAACAAAATGATTTCCATCTTTACAATATCAAGTATTGCAATGTTTTGATTGCATGGCAAGTGATTTAAACTGTTTTTGATTGAAACAGTTTTGACTACGTTGAATTTTGTTCATTAGATTGTAAATTTACCAACTAATTTTAATTTTTTTGTCTGTTAAACGGGTTCCGCTTATGTTATATTGGCAAAGTCTCTTTCTGATACGGAGTTTCAAAAATGAAAATTAACTGCTTTGCCTGTTGCTGTACGATTGTGTCATGAAATATATGATTGTTACACAGGCGGATCACAGTTTCATATTACGCTATCAACATTTTTTCCAAGCTCAGTCGCAGATAAAAATTCTCATTATTTGGTGGCATTTTTGCTTTTTCAGATTTAGCTAAATTTTGCTTCATATCATTATATTTTTGTACCTGGTTTATTGGTGGCTATTTTCTGTTAAACAAAAAACAATTAGATAATATAAAAATGCATGTGATATGATTTTTTTGAGTTGCTTATAAAAACATTTGCGTTTTTAGCAAGAACTTCATTTTTTCTCTAAACTTAAATCATTAATTTTCAAAACTTAATATCAGTGGATAAACCGACCACCTGCGTCAGTGTTTAGACATTCCACATGGACTTTTTGTACTTCACCGAGTGTTCAAATTTTCGCCTACCTATTTTTGAATCGTTTTCTTTTTCTCGAAAACTAACATGACAAATCTGAGATTAAATATTCAATCAGTAGAGTTCGTTCTAGCGACATCATCTGCACAAGTTGCTAAGCCCTAATTTTGGTAGAAACAGAGTTTTGAATTTACAAAGAGTCCAATTTATGTTATTTTGACCGTTGTTTGGAATTTTTGTTCCTTTTCTCGAAAAACCCTCGCCAAATCTGAGATTTAGGGTTTAAATTAAGAAACAGATTGTGAGTTTGCTCCGCACAATGAGTGTCACCCTAATTTGTTTAATGATAAATTAATTGCCTTAAAAGTGTTCTCTTTTTTGGAAACTTTGTAACTTTTGGAAACTTTTTGATCCACCCAATTTTTTTGCCTTAGTTTCCGCTCCGTTGATGGTTTTCAATGTATTTTAAGATGCCTTTTCAATGTCGTCTGAGTGGAATGTACGATATTTTAGTAGAATTTTTTTTCTCGATTTTTTCAAATAATCTTTTTTCAGCTTGGTTTTTCAGCAAAAAGTAGTTGCTTCTTTTTCCTATTCAATATCTCGTAATAAAAAGCTTTAAATTCTATCGCAAGTGTTGCAAACTTACCCATTGCATTTTTGTATATAAAATTTATAATCAAATGCTAAGCGGTACCATTTGAAAGAGCAAGAGTCAAAAAAAATTTTCAAAAATTTGTTTTCAAAGTTCTTATTGCAAAATTTGAGGCAAACGTTTGAAGTTTTTTTTCAGGGCATGAGTAAAAGTTATAAAAAGCACAGTTTTTTAGAACAATTTTTCTCGACACTTGAAATTTTGTTAATGCCGATCGAATCATAACTGAGAAGGGCTTTGATATTACTGATATCTATCACTCAACTCATTCCGATAAATGTTTCTGGTACCTGATTTTGCGTGAAAAAAAAACCAAAACAAATACGAATACAAAGTTCCTCTCCACTTTTGTTAATCGGTTTGAATTAATATCAAAAAGGTAATTAAAACTTGTTTTGTAAAAATAAACTTTAATCTAATTTTTTACAGTAGAGATTTTTTTTTTCATGTAGCCGGCACTGGTTGCCAAAAAGACGCAACTGGTTGAACTGCAAACATTTGGGAAAATCACAGTATCTTAAAGTGAATTGATTTTTCAATAATTGTCTATTCTAGATTAATTTTATAAAAAGACTAAACTCGCACAAACAATTAAGCAAAAAATACGTGATCTCAATTTAGCGGATCAGCGAAATGCGATTTTGTAAAAAAAAACGGCGATAGCAAAAAGCGGTTTTAAAAAGAGATTACAATGTTCTGATATATAAAAGGCAATTTATGCTCATAAATGATTTTGTTTATCGGCCTTGAAAGTCGTTGAGGCTACGATCTTATCCAGATATTCTTTGTTTTGCTGCTTATAGAGCGTTTGATTCCAGTCTTCCGTTGACCTAGTTAATGATATTGAGTGATACTAAACAGAAGCTTAACTCATCATATATCCAGTTAGGTACAAATAGACTTTACGACAGAGTTCATGCTTCGAAAATATTTTGGATGATCAAAAACTGTTTCGCCAATACTATACAGACAGAACACGGAACAAGTTCTGTATGCAGAAAAAAAACGAAACTCAGTCAAAAACGGCAGAATTTGCTCGCAGAAATAAAATCTATGAAGCTAAATTCCCTAACGAGTGAAGTAAAAAAAACCAAGTTAATATTTTCTACTCTAAAAGGGATTATGTGGGAGTTATTGTGGTAAAAAAAATTCATGTCATAAAGTAGACACGTCGTAAGCCAATCAGAATCGAGATAAGAAAACAAACGTAGGAAAATATTTTCTTTTCCCGATTTTGATTGGCCGTGGCTTACAACCTATCTGCTTTTTGCAAGGAAACGTAACCATGTGGAGTATAATCCGCTGGTGGGGGCAGAGGTTACAATAAAAAAAATAGCCGAACTTGAATTACTTGCTGTGAAAAATGCAGATTCAATATCTTTAATTCACTGAACTAAGATTGACTCGTTTATTCTTTAACGGTTAACAACAGTGAATCCAAACATCGCAGACTAAACTTAAGGTTGACAGGTATTAATTAATTAGTAGCCGCACCAGACACATAGCTAACCAATGGCGCCAACACGTAATATATGATTAGATACTATATATGACATTCCCTCAACAATCAATTTTCAAACAACTGTTTTAAAATTATCCAACGGAAATGTTTGAGTTTTAGACCAGCGATAGTCCACCCTCTCCCTGGGCATGAGTTTTAGTTTAACAAGTTTCTTGAGTTTCCTTTTTCACTCCCTCTTTCAAATGTGCCTTCCTGCTCAATTAGTGTCCCGCTCTCTGTCTTCCTCTCCTTTGGATGTTCTCGCTTTCAATATACTATCTATCATAACCCCGCCGAATTTAGATACCGCCGTCCGCTTCCTGGTACTTTTCCGTGATCCTGTTCCATCTTCTGATTCTTGACTAGAGTATGATACGAGACGTAAGCGTCGTACTCGTTCCCCTTTCTTTTTAGAATGTTTCCCCCCTCGTCCTTCGTTACTCAAATTTGGGGCACTCCCCCCTTGCTCGTTGCTCATAGTCTGGACCTCCGTGTCCACCCCCTGGGATTTTCCAGCTCCGCTTCCTTCGGATAAGTTTGGTCTTCCAATTCCGTCTTCTACATCGTTATTCATTTTTGGTTCATTTCCTTCCACATCTCGCCCTGGTGCTATTGTTGAGTTCCCTGCGTGTTTGGAAATTGTTATTGGCTCGTACTCCGAGTCCGAATCGTCCTCCTCCGCTGGGGAAAATTCTCGCACTCTGTTATCAGCCGTACTCTGTGCGCTTGCTTTACTCTGTGTGCTCGTCCCCGCCGCCTGTTCGTTCGCTGCTCGCTTTAGTTCCGCCCGACGTTGCAATGCACTCATAGCTGGGAGTGGTAGTGTTAGCTTACTCGCGGTAGTTGGCGCGTTCGATTTGATGACTTTCTCGGCAACCCCACTTTTCCTAAGTACAGAGCCATTTGCTAGAGTTATAGTGTGCTTAGATTCGCGAATTACTTTTTGGTTTATGGGTCTATACCTTTTATTGCTATCCTTGAGTCGTTGGAACAACAGTTCGGTCCGTTTACTTGGCTGTTTAGACTTTCCCCCACCAGCCTGTTTCCCGTCCCCGTCAGCCATTGGTGTTCCATCCGCCGCCGAAACTAGTTGATTTTGCGTCAGTCGCCTAGGGTGATTCATATGATCGACATCAAACTCCACGTCGGATCGTTCTTCCCAATCCGTTGCCATGGGTTGGATGTTCCTCGGAGCTCTGGGGTCAGTAGAATCTAAATAGGCAGATTTTTGTTTCAACACTCTGGCCCAGTTTAGGTTTTGCAGGGTTGGCTTTTTCGTAAGATTTCGCAGTACCGTATTGGCTTCTCTGCCGTGATGAGCCTCAAACGGCGATATCTTGAGAGTAGCATTTGGGGCAAATCTTAGAGCACTCAAGGCTCGTTCTATCATTGATTCTAAGTTTCCACTATCTTTTTCTTTAGCGTAAGTTAAGACAAAGTTTTTCAGACTGCCAATGGTACGTTCGACACACCCGGTGGCGCGATGATCATTCACGGGTGAATAAATTATTTCAATTCCTTCGGAATTGCAAAATGATTTAACTGCATTCGATGTGAAACTTGTACCTTGATCCATAAAAATTTTCCTAGGGACACCATGTTGAGATATGTATTGTTTAATGAACTTAAGGACCTTGTCGCTTTTATTATTTCCGCAGATCATTGCAGAGGGCCAACGTGAGAATCGGTCAACCGCTACCAAGACATATTTACTTGATTCATTTAAGTATCTAATTGGACCCCAAAAATCAAGCTGTAGGCATTCGTTCGGCTCGCGTGGTTCATAGATCTTCCCAACATCACCTTTGGCGCATAATGGTTTAAGGCTTTTACCTGCATCGGTGCATTCCTTGCATCCATCCGCAGCTGCGACTAAACTCCGGTGGAGATAGGGAAACCAGACATCCCTCGCAGCGTCGAACATACTCGAGCGCCCATGGTGAAACGCATGTATCCGATTAACCACAGCCTTCCTGAGTGGTATGGGGATGACGAGTCGTTCGTCCATCCACAGACAATTTTCCCGCACGTGGAAATCATGTGTGTGCTGTCCGAGGTAGGCACCCATTGCTCTGACCTTCTTTTCCAAATCCGGGTCCTTACTCTCCACCAGTTCTTTTATTGCGCGCATCTGGGGGTCCCCTTTATAGTTCGCTTCCACGAGCTTCAGGTTGAATAGCTCCGGCAGTGCACTGCTTTTGCGGACTATCTTGCAGTCCCGGGGGATTACTGACATGATGACGTTCCCTCCTGCTGGGTATGCCGCCGGAAAAATTTCACCTCCGAATGCCGAAGGAATGGAGATGACTGTGTTGCATCGAATGTCCCTGGTGTGATGCGTCTCCGCCTCCAATCGTGCATCCACAATCTCCACCTCGCTGCTACTGCCGCTCGTTATTTCTGGATGTTTCAACAGTAATTTATTTAATTTCTTCAAATTAAGTGATGTCATTGTAGATATGTGTATTTTGTTAGATCGATAACTTGTTTTGTTAAATAGAGGACTACTGTTTACTGTGGAATTAATATCAGACTCACGTAGCTTACATTCGGTGATTGACTTTACTACTTTTGCGCTTTCCTGGTCATTACACTCAGCTATTCGTTTTAGTGGCTTCTGATTGGTCAACCGATGGTCACGCGTTTTGACGCCCTCTTCCGGTGGAATGTTAACTTTATCGTTTCCAACTTGAATATCTTTAGCTGAAACAATTGATTCCTTTGATGCTTTGATGATCCCTTTATTGGTATCAATATATCCGAGTGAATTGGTAATTGATTTCAATTTTGCCACTGTGAAAGTGTTATCATAAAGACTAACTTTCGTGGCTTCCCCCACCGGATGCCGTGAAAGGTAATCCGCCAGGCCAATTTTAGCCCCAGGCATGTGTTCAATGACAAAATCAAAGGGGATAATTCTATCAATCCAGCGAGTTAATCGACTGAACATAGTCTTGTTTCTCTTATTGTTCCCATTCAATAAAGATAGCAAAGCCTTATGATCTGTCACCACAGTAAATTTCCGCCCGAAAATATAATTTCTGAAGTATTCGGAGCCCCAAACTACGGCCAGCATTTCTAGCTCATTCGTCGAATATTTCTTTTCGGCCGCATTTAAAAACCGGGACGCAAATGATATTGGTCGCCAACCCTCGGTGCCTAGTTGTTCAAGTACCGCCCCCAAACCGTTATGGCTTGCGTCGCACACGATACGTATATCTTTATGTACGTCGAAATGCTTAAGTTCGACAATGTTCGCGACTTGTTTCTTAATCGATTCGAACGCTGTTTGGCAGTCAATTGTCCAGAGGAATTCGTTCTTCTTACTTAGAAGTGGACGTAGAGGCGCCGAAGTTTCCGCTAACGCCGGTAAGTATTTGTGAAGACTATGGATTGACCCCATGAACGATTTCAACTGAGAGAGCGTTTTCGGGGCGGTTAATTTGTCAATCGGATCTGTTTTCCGCACCATTGGTGTAATCCCTGATTTCGTAATCCGGTGGCCTAACCACTCGCAAGTATTTTTCGCAAATTGACATTTTTCTAGCTTCAAAGCCATATTTTCTTTATCGAGTTTCATTAAAATCTTCTCCACTAAAGCGATATGTTCGATCTTGGTACCTTTCGAAATTACTAATATATCATCAATGAAAGCATGCGCGCACGGAAATTCAGCCAGAATGGCATCCATGACCCGTTGAAATTCCGCCGGCATGGTTGTCAATCCGTAGAATCCTGTTTTGAATCGATATGTACCGGTAGAACGGCCTCCCACCAATGAAAAATTGCAATGTTTACTAGTGTTTTCATTTAAAGGAAGTTGACCGTATGCGTACGTGAGGTCCATCGTTGTAAAAAAAAACATCCCCCTGTTTGCGTTCGCTGATAGTTTGCCCTACGATGTCCATTAGTTCTTCAATATTGGGCATTTGGTATTTATTCTTATGCACTTGTTTGTTTAGTTCTCTAGATTCCAGTGCAAGTTTAACAGAACCGTCCTTTTTCACGGTGATGACAATAGGTGAAACAAAATATTTGTCTGAACATTCTTCCAACTTTTGGATATGACCCTGTCCCAACAGTTTTTCAATCTCCTTATCGACTTTTTCCTGTAATGTTATAGGTACTCGCCTACCTTTTTGTTGAATTGGAGTTAGGTTTTTGAAGAAATCTGCCTGCACGTTATAATTTCGAATGCGCCCTACCCTGTGAAAAAGATGTTGAAATTGCTTACAGAAATGTGTCTGCCACTCATCCAGGTCATTGTCCATCGCCACAGTTCCTTCCGTGGTATGTATGCTTTTCACCCCTTCTGTCGATGGTGCTTGTACCAGCATCAGTCCTAGTGAGGGCATTAAATCCCTGCCAATAATAGACGGTCGGCACCCTCCGATGACGTTTATATCCGACGAACAAGTCCATCCATTGGAATGAAGCGTGACTTGCATCTTGCCCAGAAATTTTAACGGATTGTTTCCGTAATCGCGGAATTGGTCGTCTTGTGGATTCAGCGGTTTCAATTGTACGTTGACTGTCCCCAGGGTACGTTTTAGTTCCCCAATAGTGAAGATGGATATTGGCGAACCACTGTCAATCCAGGCCTGAGTTGCTTTGCCGTTGATTCTTAAGGCTAGTTTGGCCCCCGCGACTTTTAATTCCGTTTCCTCCTTCCGCCGAATTGACATAACCACATACTCCGTCGAACTATCCGAATCCCATCCATGTGCCGGTGTCTTTGAATCAGTCACCCATCCGACAGAACTTCCGTAATTGGATGCACTCTCCTCCGGATAATCTTGGGTAGTCCCGCCATTGGTGTCATCCTCATTTATCATGCCTACGCGACCCCTATTCGCCGATCGACGTCCTCTACAAGTTCGCTCATAGTGTCCCATTTTCTTGCAAAAATTGCAGGTTACATTTCTTGCTGGGCACTTTGGAATGTGGTCCGGGGTAAAACCACTCTGGTCGCAATTGTAGCACTTGCGATCTGCTGCGCCTCCGCGGCCCCTTGTGCCGCCCCTGCCAAATCCACGTCCGCCTCTTTGGAATGGACGACGGTACCCTCCTCTAATTGCGCTTATAGGCTCCGCTTTAATTTGTAGTGAACCCGCTGGTGCCGCAGTAAGTCCCCCACCGGATACTTTATACGACTTTGCGTATTTGTCCCCCCGTTCATATGACAAAGCAATCCGGTAGACCTCATCTGGTGTCTTAGTTGAACGGCATAGCTCCGTTTGGGCTTCCTTGTTGGACATATTTACTATGAATACATCACGTAACACCCGTCGTTCCAATGTTCCCAATGAGCATCTAGCGGCTAGTCCACTCAAAACGGAGTAAAATTCTTCTAGCGTTTCCCCGTCACGTTGTTTCCGAGATAGTAGCTGGTACGTCTCGAATGTTTCGTTTCTTTCCTTGCGGAAAACACTCTCAAATTCATCCAAAACCCGTGGATATCGGGTAGTCGCCAGGTCCAGATGGGGCTTCCGGTTATGTAATTCGTCCTGTCCACGTTCCCCCAAACACAAATAGAGGTTAGAAATTAGTGTCTGCTCTGCTTCCACTCGATTTTTCCCATTCACCTCCTCTGGCAGACCGGTAATTTGCGCCTCAGTGAGCGTATTAGCAAAATAAAAAGCCGTCGGATTGAATGAATGTTTTGCTATTACACCCCAGGTGAATCGTGTAATCCAATGCTCCCACAACATTGGTGCTTCCGTACATTTACTCGGCCAAAATGCCGTAATTCCCAGTGGATTTTTTCCTGATCCCGCGCTTTGTCCTGCTTGCTGCGCCATGTGAAAAATGCAGATTCAATATCTTTAATTCACTGAACTAAGATTGACTCGTTTATTCTTTAACGGTTAACAACAGTGAATCCAAACATCGCAGACTAAACTTAAGGTTGACAGGTATTAATTAATTAGTAGCCGCACCAGACACATAGCTAACCAATGGCGCCAACACGTAATATATGATTAGATACTATATATGACACTAAACTATAAGACTAAACTCGCACAAACAATTAAGCAAAAAATACGTGATCTCAATTTAGCGGATCAGCGAAATGCGATTTTGTAAAAAAAAACGGCGATAGCAAAAAGCGGTTTTAAAAAGAGATTACAATGTTCTGATATATAAAAGGCAATTTATGCTCATAAATGATTTTGTTTATCGGCCTTGAAAGTCGTTGAGGCTACGATCTTATCCAGATATTCTTTTTTTTGCTGCTTATAGAGCGTTTGATTCCAGTCTTCCGTTGACCTAGTTAATGATATTGAGTGATACTAAACAGAAGCTTAACTCATCATATATCCAGTTAGGTACAAATAGACTTTACGACAGAGTTCATGCTTCGAAAATATTTTGGATGATCAAAAACTGTTTCGCCAATACTATACAGACAGAACACGGAACAAGTTCTGTATGCAGAAAAAAAACGAAACTCAGTCAAAAACGGCAGAATTTGCTCGCAGAAATAAAATCTATGAAGCTAAATTCCCTAACGAGTGAAGTAAAAAAAACCAAGTTAATATTTTCTACTCTAAAAGGGATTATGTGGGAGTTATTGTGGTAAAAAAAATTCATGTCATAAAGTAGACACGTCGTAAGCCAATCAGAATCGAGATAAGAAAACAAACGTAGAAAAATATTTTCTTTTCCCGATTTTGATTGGCCGTGGCTTACAACCTATCTGCTTTTTGCAAGGAAACGTAACCATGTGGAGTATAATCCGCTGGTGGGGGCAGAGGTTACAATAAAAAAAATAGCCGAACTTGAATTACTTGCCTTCTTTTCTGAGCGTGGCTTCTTCATTAATAAGGGCATTGTTTTGCTCCACTAGTCTGGCAGCTGACTCCGTCTCTTTTCTCGCTAGTTCACTCTTTACGCCCTCTAGCGACTTCTGCAGCTGCTCAATTGTAGTTCTAAGGTCATCCACTTCGCCTCTAAGAATGAGCAAGATAAAATTTAGAGGAACTTAAGAAATATCATTAGTCTGATGAAAAAATTGGACAACTAACAAAAGGTCAGCCAAGTTTCGGTAAAATAAAAAATTATAAAATTTTCGAGAAAATTGATGAAAAACTGACTTGTAGTTCTCGATGATTGACGTGTATTTCTCTTCCTCGGCTCTTACGATTTCCTCATACTGTTCCGTTGAAATGCCCTGCTCCTGAAATGAGGATTTGAGAAATCCGTTATTTTGATCCTGATCCGTTATTTTGTAAGTTCAAATTACTTTCCCACCTCATTCTTCGTCTAAGGTGGTGAACAATTTTAACCACAAAATAACGGATCATGCTTCATTTTGCATGTTTGAAAAGCTTCAAGCTTCAAGCTTATGGAAAAAAATGGAAACAGTTCTTTTTACGAAGGGTTAGCAGAACAATGCCGCCGGAGTAAAATCCTGCTATGATTATTGGAGACATGAATCTCCTAACTTACTTCTTTGACCACGCTGGACTTGACAGAGGAAGCACCGGACCTGTCCGAGACACCACCGCCCCCTCCCCCTCCCACTTCTTCAGTCCCATCTTCCCCCGTTTTACTAGAGGGGTCATTAGCAGTTTGCCCGGTAGCACTCTCATCCACGTCTAGCAGTTGCTCTGCTGGTTGATCTGAGAAAAAGAAAACGAACGACAAAATATTAGTTTCCAAATAAAAGATTAAATTTTTTAACCAACTTTTTTCAAAAGAATAGTCGGTTGCTGGGATGGTTACAAAAGAAAAACAAAAATTCCGGAAAAAGGGTTGGAGTTATCCAGTAAACTCAACAAGACAGTCATAAAAAGCTAAAAGGTAGTATGCTACGAAAAAAGACAATCAATGACTGCTTGGTCTTTTTTTTTACCAATTAAACATTTTCAACTAGTAAGCGTGCAAGATGTAATCGTTTCGGTTAGGTCATCAGACGAATACTTTGAATTCTCCTATGAAATTTCCGACATTGTACTCTGCGAAAGCGAAGAACTTTGTATCTGCTTATCCGAAAACTGGCAAAAAAATTGCTGAATGAGTTTGGGGTGTGGGATGTGAAGCTACACTAACTTATTAAACTAACTAAAAGTTGAAGTTTACTTCATTGGTATAAATTGGTTAATAAATCAATAAATAAGATATGACAGCAATCTTTCAGCAAGCATTAAAGAGTGACTGGAGATTTGTTAGCACACTGTCACGGTTGGGATACCGGTCCCGACCTTGACACTTTAATTGCGAATAACACTTTAACATTCACATAGGTTGTAATCTGATCTAAAGCATGCTGTATGGCAACCACCACATGGGGAAAGAAGTTTTCAAAAATTTTGTGGGGAAAAACTTATATACAAAAAAAAATTAATACGCGAAATGTCTTTTTTTAACAACTTTTTCATAAGAAAAAGCTTTTTTTTTGTAGTACTCTTAGAGCCGAATTTTGAAAATATGTGAGAAGTTCTTCGAAGAAAACTTCAGAAGTGGCGACTTTTGGTCAACCCCGGTGGGCAATAAAATGCTGTTGACGAAATTCTTTAAGGTTGATCTGAAATTAAGTTTTCAAATTTGAAATGTGTTATAAAGCGTTATACGCTTGGTTGTTTCAAAAATGAGTTGATTCTGATCTAATTTGCGATCTGAAACATTGTTTTTTGTTTATTTCAGATCTAGAATTATCTAATTCAAATCTTTCAAAATAGGCGAACAAAAAATATAGTTTGACACTATTCGGAAGTTTTTAATCACGTTTTTATTTCATCTAAATATTATTGAAAATTCAATAAAAAACATTGATAAAGTGCACTTAACTTTTGCTTGAATTACGCATATCACATTTTAAGGAAAGGTTTTCAGATCTAATTACAGAAATGAAAACATATTTTCCATGGCTATTTGATATCTGCAACTTCTACTTGAGATTCCGATAGGAGGTGTTGAAATTTCAGATCTGCAAATTTACTATCATTAGAAATCAGGAATTTTAGATCTGGAAATCTTCTAACGACCAAAACAAGAAATTTCAGGTTTAAAAATCTATCAATAACAGAAATAAAAAAATTCAGATCTTAGACTGAAAATTTCTCAAGTACATAAATAAAAAAATTCAAAAAATCTGTGGAAAATATACTCAAAACGGTGGTTTTTGTACGCAGCCAATATGATATGAAAATGTCGACTTGAAAATATTTCGATTAAGTTTCATTAAAAAAATTGTTTAAGCCTGACAGTGATAGCTCACATAGTTCTTACTGATTTCGCCAATGACTTCGAAGAAACGAAATAAAATTTATAACAATTTTTTGCAGTCTATGGAACCAAAAATAGTTTTTTCCTAACATCTTTGATGGAGCTTATCGATAAAGACTTGAAAACACTTTTGGCTAAACGACATTTTTATAAACTTTCTGTCTTAAGATAAAAATTGGTCAAAACTTGATCTGCTTTGTTATTTTTTTGTCCACCGACCTTGTCTATATTACGTAAGTGTCTTGTTTCTTGTCAACTGATTTTGGTTAGAAAAAACGCGCTCGAAAACCAAATTTCTCTCTCTTTTCTTTTCAGCAGGCTGGATGGCTTTTCATAGATTCCCTGGGAATCGCGGAAACCACAAAAAGACCTGAGACATTTTTTCATTTTTCTTAAAATAACTATCTCACTATCTGAATAACTATAACTAACTCATGATTTGAAACTGATTTAGGTAAATTTTAATGCAAAAAGATATGAAGCACGGGCGGATCTAGGTTTTTTTGGGTTAAAAGGGAGAGCGAATGTTCAAAAAACGGTTCAAAAAAATGTTCAAAAAAATTATTAAATTGCAATAATTGAATTGCCAGTAAGCTCGGGTTCGAGTTCATGAAAAATTACAGGTCGTTGATTCTTTTTTTTCAAACTTTTTGACCGAATCTGATTTCACCTTTAGCGAGACAAAAAATGTTAATAGTCTTACCTGTATTTTGGGGCTGCTCCACTTCAACTTGTGCATTGACATTCTGCAGCATGCTCTTTTCATAGTCGGACAGATGCATCAACTGTTGTTGCTCAATTTCTTGTAGCTAGAAAACATATTGCAAGTCTTCAGAGCTATTCAAATGGACTTTACCAAATAAAATAGACGATGATTTGCGAGGCAATTGTTTACAAAGGTTAAGATTATGCGTGCTTGAAAACCGTTTCAAGCTTATTTTTTCCAAATTCAATACCAACTTTTTTTTAATATCTCGGAATTGAATTTAGTCGATTGGAAAAACCCGACTTGTTAAATTTTTAATTAAGAATTAGGCACAAAAAGTTGTGTGAAATACAACGGCGCAATACAACAGTGTCGAAGCCCAACAGTGCCGAAAATTGAAAAAGTGTTCATTAATGATTTTCGGCACTGTTGATTATTAAATTTGTTTTCGGCACTGTTGTACTTCGTCACTGATGTGCCGCCCTTAGAGGGGCGTTCAACGGTACCGAAGTACAAGAGTGCCGAAAATAAAATTATTGTTCAACAGTGTCGAAAATCATCAATTTTCGGCTCTGTTGAACACTTTTTCATTTTCGGCACTGTTGTTCTTCGGCACCGTTGAAAGCCCCCAATACAACGTGTAGAATGCAAAATAGCCTAAGGTGTTGCCCAAAGCTGTAAATTACTCGAAGTACAACACTAAAAAACTTCAGACAGAATTGTCGAGATAACTTGTGACTTGAACCGGAAAACTCCGCAAGACCACCCGCTTCTGGTGCTGCCAGACGTTTTAAATTTTTGATGCAAATTAATTTTGGATGTTCAAAATGGAAAACCAAAAACAATTAAATTTAAATAAACGACGTGTCTGCTGACTACAGCATTCAACCCAGCTTCCTTGTTCTCGAGTTCATTATATAAATTTGAGGGAATTAGGCCCGGAGATTAATTTCTGAACAACTTGGTGATGTTATATATCAAAATCGGTTTAATGGACTCAAAAAAGTTAAATTGCATACAACCTTTTAAATTATTCTCGAAAATGTTAACCTGCAATTTTTAAATCTTTCTTGTTTCTTATATCCGACAAGAGTTATTTTGTTATCATGCCTGTGCAGCTTGGACTAGCTCTGCGACTGGAGATGTGGCCCTGTCCTTCTGGGGTCCCCTGGATGCCTGGGATGCACCCTGAATCAGTTGGTCCAGAGACACTTTCTTCAGATCCACTCCCAGAATCCTCTCCACTACGCTGTCCACCTGCATATGCAAACAAATTCAAAAACAATATTTGCTCTTCCAATTTTGGTTAAATTGTTCAAGCTACACATTTTATTGTTTTTAAAGCAGACTTTACAAAAAGCTGAGAGGAGTGGGGGACAACAGTTTGGTCCAATCAGTGTTCTTTTTTTAATGTCAGTCTCTGTTAAGCTAATCAGAATTTTGGCACAAGTGACTGTTCCACGTGTAGACTTTTAAGAAGAATCTCAAAGGTGTTTAAAAAGGTCAAAATTCTTAAACTGTTCAAAAAGGGCTCGATTGTCACGAATCAATATTTTTAAACGGTTGACCAATATATCATCTGTCATCTGGTTTGGTTCCTTCGGTCTTATTGGATCCCCCTCACACTAATGACACTCACCAGATGGGGCTCCGTCTGTGCCTCTTTGGGTGCGATGAAGGGTCTCTTGCTGGTGCCATAGTAGAAGTGCACCTGAAGTGCCCCCACCGCCACCCTACCCTGCACTGTCAGCAGGGGCAGAGTGGTGGGCTCATCCTTCAATAGAAACTCCCCCTCATCCTCCCCCTCCCCAAAGTAGTCGGGCAGGTCAACTGTGGGCGGCAGCTGAAAGCAAACCACACATTCAGAAATAATGATTTCACGCGTCTAGGTGTATGTTAATGCAGTTGGCATGTAAGAGAAATCACCTAATATCTTCAGCGTTAAATAAGCTATCTTTTTGTATATTTATCTCATTGTATGGTTATTTTTATGGAAAAATTGTCTCCAAAATTTTTGTCAAATTACTTGGGTATTTTGCTTTATGTCGCCCGTAGGACAAATGAATGTCATTTTGTGAAACCGAAAAAATGGTTGTTTCAATCACCAAATAAAAGAGTTTCCAGTTTGAAATGCAATTTTCATTTACTTAATTTGTTGATAGTTCTTGGTTTACTTCAAACTCTACGGCCTATTAGATTTTGGTGTAAGACTTTTTTTCTGAAAAGTCTTATAGATGGTTACTTAACTAATGTGTGTTTCTTTTAAAAACTTTGCGCTTAGTTGTTAGCATTACAAGTTCAAATTCCACAAACCGAATCCTGAATATCCTCAATTGACAACTGGGCGTGGCACAGAACATCCCCGTCCATTTTCTCTCGAAGACTGAATTCCATCACATCTCTTCTAATTAGACTCTCATCTTCTCCTTTTTTCTTCTTTGTGTCTTTTTCGTCCTTTTTATCTGTCGGCGCTGGGCCCTTATTTGCTATAATGAAAAGAAAAAAATTGCGAATGGAACAAGACTGCTCGAATATTCTGTCTGCAATAACATTTTTTTGTTGAAAAATTAACGCTTGGCTTGCATCAACTCAATTTAGAACCCATTTATCGGCCGCTGGCATGTGTTATAAGAACGCAATATATCGCGAATTAATTATCCCAAATTGATCAAACGAGTAAATATCATACCCCAAAAATTTACGAAAAATAATCACAAATGGAATTTCTTCTTTCATTTGAGCTCCAAAGAACAATATCTTTCAGATGGTATAAAACATTTCCGTCAAAAACGCTGTGTTTGAAGTCGAAATGTGACTGACAAAAATCACCCGCAGCATAAAAATTCCGCTTTTTCTTCAAAATCGTAGTAATATTTTTGGTCTCTTGCTCGCATACTCTGTCTGCACTAACAGTTTTTGGTTGAAAAATTAACGAAATAATCGACAAAAAAGAAAAAAAATGTTTCCCCGTTTTTTCTTTTTAAACCCCACTCGCTGATGTATACCACAAAGGAATATATTTATCGCCTCGTAACATAGTTTTTTTATTGTTCCGAATTTTGAAGAAAGTGAGAATTATTTTTGCATGGGATATTTTTTTTATTCAGATCAATTTTCCCAAAAAATTATTTGCTCATTTGGGGTCTTGTATATTAAACTGACAGTCTGGTCAATCTGAAACGAGTCTTCTAAGCTACTGGTTTTATACTTGGACGCAAGAAATGTAATGCAAGTTTTTTACGCGTGGCAAATTAACCCGCACCGCTTCAAAAAATCGTTCAAAACGAATTGAGACAAGCTAATTAGTCTTATTAATTTCACATACAACTCAAATTTCACCAGTTAACTTTTGATATTATCAGCCTATAATTGACAATTTATCAATTAAGTTTCACAGTTAATGAATTTTTTTTAAATTTCATCAAAGAATAATTCCGTTCTGTTCAGCTATCGGATCTAAAGCATATTCAGAAAAAAACAGTTCTGGATTTTCCCCTGCATCCGATCGTTTCAAAAAATGAAATATTAGGTCTGATTTGAATTAAACCGAAAAAATCGGAACTCATCCATAGCTGAAGCGGAATTGTCTCACAACATTTTGGGGGTCTTTTTAGGTTTTACTCCCACTGAATGGTGAAAAATGAAAATAAAACATTGTTGTCAAAACTGAATTGATTTCCTCTAAAAAGGCAATATTTTAAAAATTGACTAAAACAGTTCACTTTATTAGGTTTTCATCGGATTAGTTTCTCAACTTTTTTAAACTGTTTTTTGAACAACGCTTTCAAAAGCGTGATATAACAGCAAACGCTTGTAAAATTGTAGGTTTGATCATAATTTGATCCTATTTTGTATTAAGACCTAAATTTCAAGTTTACCATAAAGGAGGCATCACCTGAAAAACTCTTATTTTTATACTTTTTGAGAATATACTGTTTTTTTTACTTTGTTTTCTGGGAAAGTAATCTGGAAGTTGACTTTTTAAAAATTTACCCGCACCGGAGATAGATACTAATTTATTTTTTTTAGGTTTTCATTTTCAACCTCCACAAAAATCAAAAATGATTAATTATAATTGATAAGAAATGGATCAAAAAGATTTATCCAAAAAAACCGCATTTTGGGTGATTAAACCGAATTTGAATTATGATGAAATAGAAAAGTTTTTGATAACTTTTGTCTGAAATTATCAAACACAGTGCAGTGTTTTCGAAAACTCAAAAACAGACAGTTGCTTTTGGTTTCTCACAGGTTCCGCGACGAAATCTTGTTTTCACCTTTTTCTTCAACAATTTTTTCCAATCCTTTTTAATCTTTTTCGAGTTCCGCGACGAAATCTTGTTTTCACCTTTTCCTTCAACAATTTTTTCCTATCCTTTTTAATCTTTTTTACAACCGCAGCATAAAAATTCCGCTTTTTCTTCAAAATCGTAGTAATATTTTTGGTCTCTTGCTCGCATACTCTGTCTGCACTAACATTTTTTGGTTGAAAAATTAACGAAATAATCGACAAAAAAGAAAAAAAATGTTTCCCCGTTTTTTCTTTTTAAACCCCACTCGCTGATATATACCACAAAGGAATATATTTATCGCCTCCTAACATAGTTTTTTTATTGTTCCGAATTTTGAAGAAAGTGAGAATTATTTTTGCATGGTATATTTTTTTTATTCAGATCAATTTTTCCCAAAAAATTATTTGCTCATTTGGGGTCTGGTATATTAATCTGACAGTCTGGTCAATTTGAAACGAGTCTTCTAAGCAACTGGTTTTATACTTGGATGCAAGAAATGTAATGCAAGTTTTTTACGCGTGGCAAATTAACCCGCACCGCTTCAAAAAATCGTTCAAAACGAATTGAGACAAGCTAATTAGTCTTATTAATTTCACATACAACTCAAATTTCACCAGTTAACTTTTGATATTATCAGCCTATAATTGACAATTTATCAATTAAGTTCACAGTTAATGAATTTTTTTTAAGTTTCATCAAAGAATAATTCCGTTCTGTTCAGCTATCGGATCTAAAGCATATTCAGAAAAAAAACAGTTCTGGATTTTCCCCTGCATCCGATCGTTTCAAAAAATGAAATATTAGGTCTGATTTGAATTAAACCGAAAAAATCGGAACTCATCCATAGATGAAGCGGAATTGCTTCACAATATTTTGGGCGTCTTTTTAGGTTTTACTCCCACTGAATGGTAAAAAATGAAAATAAAACATTGTTGTCAAAACTGAATTGATTTCCTCTAAGAAAGGCAAGATATTAAAAATTGACTAAAACAGTTCACTTTATTAGGTTTTCATCGGATTAATTTCTCAACTTTTTTAAACTGTTTTTTGAACAACCCTTTCAAAAGCGTGATATAACAGCAAACGCTTGTAAAATTGTAGGTTTGATCATAATTTGATCCTATTTTGTATTAAGAACTAAATTTCAAGTTTACCATAAAGGAGGCATCACCTGAAAAACTCTTATTTTTATACTTTTTGAGAATATACTGTTTTTTTTACTTTGTTTTCTGGGAAAGTAATCTGGAAGTTGACTTTTCAAAAATTTACCCGCACCGGAGATAGATACTAATCTATTTTTTTTAGGTTTTCATTTTCAACCTCCACAAAAATCAAAAATGATTAATTATAATTGATAAGAAATGGATCAAAAAGATTTATCCAAAAAAAACGCATTTTGGGTGATTAAACCGAATTTGAATTATGATGAAATAGAAAAGTTTTTGATAACTTTTGTCTGAAATTATCAAACACAGTGCAGTGTTTTCGAAAACTCAAAAACAGACAGTTGCTTTTGGTTTCTCACAGGTTCCGCGACGAAATCTTGTTTTCACCTTTTTCTTCAACAATTTTTTCCAATCCTTTTTAATCTTTTTCGAGTTCCGCGACGAAATCTTGTTTTCACCTTTTCCTTCAACAATTTTTTCCTATCCTTTTTAATCTTTCTTACAACCGCAGCATAAAAATTCCGCTTTTTCTTCAAAATCGTAGTAATATTTTTGGTCTCTTGCTCGCATACTCTGTCTGCACTAACATTTTTTGGTTGAAAAATTAACGAAATAATCGACAAAAAAGAAAAAAAATGTTTCCCCGTTTTTTCTTTTTAAACCCCACGCGCTGATATATACCACAAAGGAATATATTTATCGCCTCGTAACATAGTTTTTTTATTGTTCCGAATTTTGAAGAAAGTGAGAATTATTTTTGCATGGGATATATTTTTTATTCAGATCAATTTTTCCCAAAAAATTATTTGCTCATTTGGGGTCTGGTATATTAATCTGACAGTCTGGTCAATCTGAAACGAGTCTTCTAAGCAACTGGTTTTATACTTGGATGCAAGAAATGTAATGCAAGTTTTTTACGCGTGGCAAATTAACCCGCACCGCTTCAAAAAATCGTTCAAAACGAATTGAGACAAGCTAATTAGTCTTATTAATTTCACATACAACTCAAATTTCACCAGTTAACTTTTGATATTATCAGCCTATAATTGACAATTTATCAATTAAGTTCACAGTTAATGAATTTTTTTTAAATTTCATCAAAGAATAATTCCGTTCTGTTCAGCTATCGGATCTAAAGCATATTCAGAAAAAAACAGTTCTGGATTTTCCCCTGCATCCGATCGTTTCAAAAAATGAAATATTAGGTCTGATTTGAATTAAACCGAAAAAATCGGAACTCATCCATAGATGAAGCGGAATTGCTTCACAATATTTTGGGGGTCTTTTTAGGTTTTACTCCCACTGAATGGTAAAAAATGAAAATAAAACATTGTTGTCAAAACTGAATTGATTTCCTCTAAGAAAGGCAAGATATTAAAAATTGACTAAAACAGTTCACTTTATTAGGTTTTCATCGGATTAATTTCTCAACTTTTTTAAACTGTTTTTTGAACAACGCTTTCAAAAGCGTGATATAACAGCAAACGCTTGTAAAATTGTAGGTTTGATCATAATTTGATCCTATTTTGTATTAAGAACTAAATTTCAAGTTTACCATAAAGGAGGCATCACCTGAAAAACTCTTATTTTTATACTTTTTGAGAATATACTGTTTTTTTTTACTTTGTTTTCTGGGAAAGTAATCTGGAAGTTGACTTTTTAAAAATTTACCCGCACCGGAGATAGATACTAATCTATTTTTTTTAGGTTTTCATTTTCAACCTCCACAAAAATCAAAAATGATTAATTATAATTGATAAGAAATGGATCAAAAAGATTTATCCAAAAAAAACGCATTTTGGGTGATTAAACCGAATTTGAATTATGATGAAATAGAAAAGTTTTTGATAACTTTTGTCTGAAATTCTCAAACACAGTGCAGTGTTTTTGAAAACTCAAAAACAGACAGTTGCTTTTGGTTTCTCACAGGTTCCGCGACGAAATCTTGTTTTCACCTTTTTCTTCAACAATTTTTTCCAATCCTTTTTAATCTTTTTCGAGTTCCGCGACGAAATCTTGTTTTCACCT